CCCGCGGAGTACCAGTGATACATTTAACCCAGGTTGGGTTGGGTTGACCATTGCTCCGCTATAATATGAACCCAACCTAACCCATTATGTTCTATTAACAACCCTACCTATCAGGTACCCGATATATGCCCAATATTAGGGATACACCATGCACATATCGGGTACCTGATATGTGTATGTTTTATCAATTTTCGACCAGTGTTAATGAAGAAGTATACTAATATTTTGTATTTTGTATTTAATTACTAATATAGCAAAAAACAAAATAAGCAGCAATCTCTATACTAATTTTTGTAAATTAATAGAACTTGAACTATTATCAGATATTTCTATTCAAGACCTTAATGAATTTTCTTTTGTGAATTTCATTTTGGATTTGATATTAATTTCTTTAATTAATAAAATTCAATCAATTGTCAAGGATCTAAATATAATCAAATAAATAATTGATGAATCTCTTGCAGTTTTCAAAACTTTTATATATAAAAATATCTAGATACCTAGATATAATAAATTAGGAACTGGAAAAAATCAGTAGGTATTAAAAACAATAAACAAAAGAAAAAAGTACTGGTAACTCCAGTCATAAAAATATAAATTTCTAATATAGATAATAATAATAATAATACTAATTTGAGACCAATAAATAGGAATAATAGGTTGTGACTTGTTAATATTATTAATGGGTATATATATAGATGATGCTGAAATTAGATCAGAATTATAGCATTACGGCATTATGGCAGTTAAAAATATTTTTGGTATTACTTTTCAAAATCTAAAAATATTGAAAATAATTTCAACTGCCATTATTATTTTCGGCTACCATAATTATTTTCGACTGTTGTAATTATTTTCAGCTGCCATTATTATTTTTGACTGTTGTAATTATTTTTGGCTGCCATTATTATTTTCAGCTGCCATTATTATTTTTAGTTGCCAAAATTATTTAGGCTATTGAAATTATTTGATTTGTCAAAATTTATGTCATGATCATTTATTTTTATTACAATAAATGGTTGGATCAGGTGATCTGTGGTACAAAAAAAATTTCTGCAGATCTCATGAATATCACACAATAAAAGTCTATCAAATAAATAAATAAATTTGTTTTAATACTATTTTTTATATCTATATACTAACTTGAGTTTTGACATAAATAATAGTAAGTTTTTCCTTTTGATTTCAGTGATTATAGTTTCTTTTTTTTTTGATTTTGACAATTACAAGTTTACTAAATTGGCTATTTTTATTATAAATTAGTAAGATTAAAAATAAACCAAAATTATAAGATATTTCAAAGTTTAGAAAAGTTAGCAGGAGTATTGTGATATTTATTTTATTGTTTTTTCATGCATGCATACAGGTACTAACTACTGTTTTTTGATTATTTTTAAGTCAGTTTTTATAATTAAATTAGGTGACGCAGTACTGTTTATAGATCTAAAGTCTAGATTTTAGACAAGAAAGAAAAGTAATCTCAAGGTTTAAAAGAAATTTATAGAACTAAAGGTAGGTATACTTTGTTTGTTTTATTATTTCTACTAGTTTTCAAGTAGTTGAATCAAGTTTTTATTATTTTCAGAGAACCGATTTTACAAATGATAATGGAGAGAATTTACAAGTTGAAGAAATATTAGATTTTATTAAATTTTCAGATAATAATAATAATAATAATAATAATAAAAATATGGTATATGTAGTAATTGAAGATAATGAAGATTATGATATTAATGAAATAATTAATGCATTTGCAAATATTAATAATTAATAATTTTTAATATGATAACTTCTTTTTTATTTTAATTTTAAATAATATAATAAACTTTAATAAATTTTATAATGTAATTCATGTTTTATAATAAAATAAATTTTGGCAAATATAACTTAATATAATTGTAGTATTAATATATTGATAATATTTATAATAACCAATATTAATTACAATATCTAATAATTAATTTTGTCATATAAGAATAATTTCAACAGCCTAAAATAATTACAGCAGCTTAAAATAATTTTGGCAACCTAAAATAATTTTGGCAGCCTAAAATAATTATGGCAGCTTAAAATAATTACAGCAGTCGAAAATAATTACGGCAGCCTAAAATAATTACAGCAGCCGAAAATAATTATGACAACTGAAAATAATTATGGTAGCCAAAATTATTTTTGGTTTCAGCAGCTGAAATTATTTCTGGCAATTATATTTTTGGCAAATGTAAAATTAATTAAGACACCATCTATAGATGAGATGCTCTTTTTTTTATTTAATAGAACCACCAATTCTATTATTATTATTATTGATATTATTATTATTATTATCACTATTATCATTATTGTCATTATTGTCATTATTATTATCATTGTTATTGTTATAATTATCATTATCACCATTATTATTGATATTGTTATTGTCATTATTATTGTTATCATTATTTTTACCATTATTATCATTATAGTTATTATTATTATTCTTGGCATCATTATTTAAACCATTATCAAAATCAAAATTATCTTCTTGCTCATTGTTATCAACAGCTTCAGAAAGATGAAGGTTGGTATCAATGCCATTACCAGCATCAATATCATAACTGCTACCAGAACTACCAATATTATCATCACATTCTTTTGAATTTTGACAAAGTGAACATTGTGATTCAGAAAAAAATTGATTAAGGCATTTTTAATGAAGTATATGTTTACATGTTAAAATAATTATTGGTTCAGGAAATTGGGGAGATATTTCTTTTTTACACATTTCACAGATGGTTTGATTTTGATAATTTTCAGAAATTTGTTCTGGATTCATAATATTTATAATTTTATATGCAAAACATTTTAAAGCGAAATTCTATAGTAAAAGTTTTAGTTAGTTAATGAACAATATATATATATACAACCATTATATTGTTTATTATTCTTACCTTTTTATATTCTTTAATTATACCATCCCAGTATGGCCTCAACCATCTGCATGAATGTTCTAATTTTACCTGTTATGAGAAGAAATGTTAGCAGTATATCAACTTTTTTATTTAGTGATAAAAAAAGGTTCATAGCTGATTCCTCCTTTGAAACCAACAGTCCTTTACCAAAAGCTAGTGTTTGAACCTGAGCAGAAATTGTCTGATAATCCTTCGACCACCTAAAGGTTGCTAAACGGGAGAACTCTCACTTCTTGATGGTGTTGGAGGTGGTGATGGAAAATTATTTGATAAAGAAAGGTACGGAGATGGTACTACGGAATGTCTTGATGGTTGTAGATTATTATAATCATATTCTCCTATTTCATCCCCTTCTCGATTAATAGTATTCACAATAGGCTCCGGGTAAATTATTATAGCAATTTCTGCTCAGGTCCAAACACTACCAACAACAAAGTTTGGGTACCTGAACTGAAGACTTGAAGTGGGTACCAAGCAAACAAGCCCAGTAATTCTCCTGAGCCAGGGCAAGTGTTTGCTGTGACTAGGAGTTACCCTCTTTTTGCAAAATAAAAAAAATGCACCTTCTCTTTTAGGTCTGCAAAATTTTCTTGATCTAAAAGGTTTTTCGCTTCGTTTAAGAAATTTGCAGACCAAGCATGGTCAATATTATTCCAGTTAGAATTCACAGACAAGGAGAAAATTAAGACATCTCGATAAAGTTCGATGAAACTGCGGTACGACTTGTTGTTATAGGTTTGTAAATAATCGATCAGAGCTAAGAAGTTAAATATTGATTAGAAATTAAATAAATTTTTACTAAAGTCAGATTGCAAGTTATGGTTCGTGAGTTCCACATTTAGACATCGTTTGTGAAAATAAATTTATTTGTTTTTTTAAATTTTGATCCTAATTTTATTTTGTCAAAAAAAAAGTCAGCACGTCCTAAAAGCCTATATTTTAAAAACGTCAAAAATAAATGTATTAGAGGAAGAGACGCGTAACATTATGTGTATATTTAAGTTTTCACATAGATATGCAGGTTAGTAATCTGTGTATCGCATGACCAGATTATGCATGCGGATTCTATTACATTCGAATTCCTTCTATAACACATATCACATGATAGGCTAATTATTTTAGCGAAGATGTCAAATTACACAAGTTATTGTCTGAAATAGGTTCTCCCTTCATCTAATAATTAAAATTAAAAAACTTGAGAGTAAATAAATTTTGAGACTTCTAAATAATAATTTTATTAAGTAAAAAATTAATGGGCAATTTTGTTAAAATTTTAATAATTAATAATACTTCAGAATATAAATTAACATATTTGAATAAAAAAAAATTGTGATAGTTTAAAATTTGCGAAAATTATATGATTTTAAGAAAATTTTTGTCTTTTTTAGACTTTAGTATCAAAATAACTTCACAGAAACAGAATTTGAAAATTTAAAATATTTTCTCACCCCTTAAATTATATATATAGAATACATGTAGAAAGTGGAGGAATAAGTGTACAAAGTGTATCCAATGGAGGTTTTTTGGAAGGTAGAGGATTTTTTTAAGGCCTCGGACGATGTATAATAATATTTACACAATTCTATTAAGACTGGTTCAATTTTAAAAATAACTATAATAAATATTCATTGATAAGCATTACTAATTAAAAATTTATGTGATTGATAAAACGATATTAAAATTTATTTTTTAATAGTACTCGTCCTGTTATCCAAATTGTTCATACGGTAATAAATGCTATGTTATTAAAAGATCTCGTTATTATTTTTTTCTCAAGCATATTTTTTAAAATTCATATTGGTAAAGAAGTGAAATCTCATCTAGAGCACAGATTTAATTTTTTATTCAAATTTATTTAGATGCTGCAAATTTAATAAATGTATATTATTTTTGTTTTTGTGACTTTAACTGCTAAATTTTTAATAAATATATTTTACAATTGGTCTCGTCAAACATTATTCTGTAGTATTTGATAACATTTACATTATTTACCAAACTCTACAAAGAACTTCACCACCTTCTCTCAATTCTAATGCACCTCTAAGTTCTAAAATTCCTTTAGATGTGCTTATAATTGAAATTTCACCTGGTTGTATGGGTTTTACAAATTTGGCACGTTGTCCTGAAGCCCAAAGTTGTAATTCGTCAACATTCATATAAATTCTTTTAGAACCTTTGCTAACACAACTCATATATTTAAGTACGGGTTCATTATCACGATATTTCAAGTCTAACCATAACCTTCGTCTAGTAATGTTTTGAGGAGTAGTAGGGGTAAATATAGAATCAGGTCGTTGAACATCACCACGTTGTACGCCAGATATAAATCCTTGATGATAAAGAATTAATGATATAGCAAGATTCATTTTTGATTCAGGAACAGCTATTGAAGCTAATCTGGCTCGAAACCCATTTTGTACACGAGCGCATAAGTCGTGTGGGACTGTCATGTTTTTTTTTTTTTACTTTTTTTTTTTTTTTTTGAAAATGATTATCTATATTTATATTATACTTATCGACCAATAAAATTCGTTTTGCATTCAATATAATTTATATAATTTTTATATAATTTATTTATATAATTTATTATTTTTCGAAATTTAAAAATTTTTGATTTTTGATTTCAAATGTCACCACCAGTATTTTTAAAATTATTATTTCGTAATTCTATAATATCCCAATCGAGTTCTTTCTTTTCTTTTCCTCGAACATTACCTACTATCATCACCCATAACACTCACAACACCAACGCGACCAACTTTAATATTTTTCCCAAGTCAATTAATATATCGAAACGTACTTACACAAGTACTAATACTAATAGTGATGATATAATAATAGAACAACAATTAACTGAAGGAGAAAAATATCTTTATGAAAAATTATCAAAAAAATTTAACCCCACTAAATTGCATGTTCAAGATATATCAGGTATTATTATTATATATTATTATATATTATTATTTATTTATTAATTAATTAATAATATTTCTATAAACAATAGGTGGTTGTGGATCAATGTATTCAATAGAAATTTCATCTAATCAATTCAAAGGTCTTCCAATAGTAAAACAACATAGAATGGTAAATGAATTATTACAAGAGGATATCAAGAAAATGCATGGGTTACAGGTATTGAAATAATAGTATTTGTTTATTATTATTATTATTATTATTATTATTATTATTATTATTATTATTATTATTATTATTATATTTTTATTATTATATTTTATATTAAATATACTTTATTAATTACTTTTGTTTATATTTGAAATAATAGCTTAAAACATCTCATTCATGAATAATAATTAATCAAGATGGTTAATATTAATCATTATTTTAATTTTAAATAAAATAAATAAATAATAATCACTTGTTAATTCTATATATAATATATTAATCTATAGCAACTTTTTTATGTCCAGTGGAATGAATAGGAACTATTCCAGTAACCTCGAATTTAGATTGAGCATTATTTATATTACCATTTATACCCATATTTATATTATTATTATTATTATTATTTAAATTATTTATACTAATTAAACCATTGATATTATTATTACTATAATTATTACCAACCATCTTTTCCCCTTCTTCATTATTATTATTATTATCATTCTTATTTTTCAAATTTCCTAAAATTTTTTCAAAAACTAAACCTATTCTATTAAGGAATTTCATAATAAATCCTACAGTTACCCATATTCCTCCTACCAAACCACATAATCTTGTTATGAATTTTATGAATCCTTGACTTTTTTCGGTAATTTGTACAGAAATTGGTTCGAGATCATATTTAAAGAATATTCCTGTGTTTAAAAGTTTGTTTGATAAGAAATTTTATAAATGTGATTAACAATAATAATAATAATATTATTATTATTATTATTGAATTTTGAGGGAATTACCTGGAATTCCATATTGCCCTTTTGTTGCATCATATATTTTATTGTAATCAGTAACTGAATATTGATTTGTTAATAACACACCATTACTGTTATCTATATATGTGGTTGGAACCTATATTTTATATTAAGATAAATTAGATAAATAGGAATTACCTGTAACAAAAATAACAACAACAGAAACAACAACAATAATAATAACAACAACAACAATAATAATAATAATAATAATTACAACTGATAAGAAATATTGAAAAGCTTCCATATCTTTTATAAATGAAAACAATAAGGGGATTTAAGATTAAAGATTCAATTTTAGTAAATAAGAAATAATAATAAATCTCAATAGATAATAAAATCATAATGATAATAATATTTAAACGTACTTGCTTCAGCTACCTCTATACTATTATCCAGTGGGTTAATGAGACGTGGATAAAATGCTCCAAAGGAAAATTCATCAATTCGATGTGTAAAATTTAATTCTTTTTATTTTATAATTAATTATTGATTAAATAAATATTTGATTAATAAGTATATTTGAATTTAAAATATTGTAATTAATTAAAATGTTCTATTATATGCATACACGCACACAATTTACACACCTTCAATAACTTTTAAAAAAAATCCTCCATATCCATATCCAATTGCTGTGATATGTAAATTTCCTGTGACTTTATTAACATTCAAATTTCCAAAAATTCTACATGCTTCCATTTTATTACCTAATACAAATATATTTAAACTTGTTATTAAATTATTGTTCTTATTCTTCTTCTTCTTGTTGTTGTTGTTGATGCATGTAATGAAAAATATATAAAAGAAAAAATAGTCACACCATTCGAATTTTCATTTTGATTAAAAAGGTTCCATTTTCCTGCGGCATTTTTCATCACCTGTCGAACATCTATTCTTGTATCATCGTCATAATCATCTCCATCTTTATTTCTTTCATATCTATAAATAATTTGAATATATCAATTTAAAAAGAAAAAAAAAAAAAGGATGTTCACGATAGAAATTTAATTATTATTATTATTATAGTTAACCCAATTGAATGTGCTGTTCCAACTTTAAATGTTGTCTAAAAATATATTTAAAAAAAAAAAAAATAATAATTAATTCAATCTATTTTCTTTTTTTTTTGATTAAAAAAATATAAATGAATTACCGGTACAATAGTTAATTCATTTGTCAAATGCATTGCTTCACCAGCCGCATCAATCAAATCCACTGTCAAGTCTATTTTTTTTTTTTTGAAATCAATGATTAAAATAATTAAAATGATTTAAAATAAATAAATAAATAAAATAAAAGAATTATGCTTTACTCACATGAGCATTGTGTATTTACAGTAATATCAACATTTATTTGCAATTTATGATCGATATTTCGATCCACTAAAAATTCATATTTTTGATTCATGTTCCAATATTCTCGAAACTCGCTAATTATTAAAATCCATAAAAATATCGTCACAATGATTGTTATGAAACCCCCTTGTGGACTTTTATTTTGATATCCGGAATCAACTTTAGGAAAGGCATCAAATATAATTGCTTTTTTCAATATTCTTGATATCATGATCCTTTTTTTTTTTTTTTTGTATGATTATTATTTTTTTACCATATAAAAAACATTTAAAAATAATTCTTAATTTTTAATGCAAAGTGGAACATGAAACAAGAAACAAAAGGAGATTGACAAAGAAATTTGACGGAATGACCAATAGTTATATATAGAATCTATTGCATGTAATGGTATTTATAGTATACTATTGTACTGGATATATAATATATATAGTATATAATGCGTAGTTGATAGTAGTAGATAATATAAATTAGTATAAATTTTGGTATTTGTTACTAATACTAGTTAATACTAGTCAATACATCAATGTCCAATTTAATATATCTATCTACTAAATTTGGTAAGTTACTGTAACATGAAATAATTAATACTCAATATATTTTTATACTTTTTTCCGCATTCGACGTATGGTACTTTTTTTATTAATACTATATATTGTAACTACTTTTTAAATTATTATTATGCTGGTTGGAAATTAAGTGATCATAATACATTTCATACTTTCTTTTCACTTTTTATTCCTTGACACATTCTTTTTTTTTTTGTATCAATCCCCCCATCTCATATAACCTCGTTTTTTCTTTTTTTGCTCGTTTAATATTAAAATAAACTTATAATTTCTTCTCGACCTTCTACATTTTTTTTTTTTAAAAAAAAAAAAAAGATTAAAAATTAAAAATGAGCGTAAGTAAATTAAATAAATTCTTTTTATACAAAGAATTTTTTTCCTTTATCTCTTATACTTGATTTTTTTATGCACTTTATTTTATTTATGTTTTATTTTTTTATTTTTAAATAATACTTGATTTTAACTATTTTATTTTATACTTTAGGGAGGATATGGATATCCACAACAATATGAAACACAAAACCCTCCAAATGAATTAACGAATGTTAATGTTTTTTTCGATGAGGTATTTATTTATTAAATATATTATTATTGATAAGAATTTTGAGTTGGATGGATTTTTTTATAGCGTATTCTGAATTCATTGAAAATGGTTGGAAAATATTATCGATATAATGATCAATTATTACAATTATTACAATTATTACATTTGGTAATTTCTTAATTCAAGTTAGAAGAATCAAATTAGAAAATCAAAATAATTAGAAATCTATTAAGAAAAGAGAACAGACAGGTGAACCAATGATTTATATAATTGAATATGAATGAATGAGAAGGGAAAGGAGAGAGAGATAATAAAAATACTGGGTAAACAGTTTAGGAATTATTAAAAATTAGTTTAATTAGGAAAAATAAACATGAATTTTTAATTTTGTATTAAATAATTTAAAAAAAATTAATATTTAAAAAAAATTTAGTATTTAAAAAATTTAGTATTTAAAAATAATAATAACAATACAATATATTTATATTTATATATATTATATGATATAGATTTCTACAATTCAAGAAATGATCAAGCAAGCCCAAGAAAATATCAATCGTATAAATGAATTACATTCTCGTTCTTTGGGTACAATTAGCGAGGATGAATCGTCCAAACAACAACTCGAAGCTCTTACATCTAATACACGAAAAATACTTACTGAAATAAAAGATAAAATTAGAAAATTAGAATCTGTGAATTTAGGCTTACCTCCTAATACTGGAGATTTAGGTGTTCGAAATGCTCAGGTGATATATTCACTCACCATATGTATTTATTTATTCATTCTTTTTACTCCCTATATACACATTTACTGATTATTATTGTTGTAATTGTTATTGTTATTGTTATTATAATTATATATATATTATATAGACAGAAAATCTTCGTAAAAAGTTCATGGAAACATTGGGAGATTACCAAAAGATGGAATATCAAAATCGCCAGAAATATCGAGCAAGAATGGAAAGACAATATAGAATTGGTAGATAAAAATTATTTATATATTTTGTAATTCACTTATATCGAATGTATTTTAAGATAAATTGTCGTTACTAAAATGAAATTATGGAATTTGTTTTAGTCAATCCTCAGGCCACACAAGATGAAATTGAGGCAGCATTGGATAATGACGAAGGCGAGCAAGTGTTTGCTCAATCAGTAAGTATTATATTTCTATTTAATTATTTATATATCGATTTATATCTATATATATCGATTTATTGATATATCTCTTTATTCATTTATTTATTTATTTTTATTTTCATTTCGAATATTTTAGCTAATGACAGCAACACGATACGGTGCAGCTAAAGATGCATTACGAGAAGTACAAGAACGTCACAATGATATCAAAAAAATCGAAAAAACAATCGAAGTGAGTGATATATTAATTGTGTAACAAAGATGATAATAATGAAAACAAAAAATAATTATTTTTTAATGTTTTTCTTAATGTTGTTACTTTCTAGGAACTTGCCAACCTTTTCCAAGAAATGCAAATGGTAGTGGAAGCGCAAGAAGTGGTAGTTACTAAAATTGAAGAACAGACTAATCATATTACTACTGATTTGGAAACGGGTGCTACTCTTGTAGATCAAGCATTAGTTAGTGCGAAAGGTGCAAGAAGAGTAAGTTTTATTTATACTTATTTTTTTTATGATGATGATGATGATTATTATTATTATTATTATTATTATACTCATTTATATTCATTTCTACTTAATTTTTAGAAAAAATGGTATTGTTTTGCGATTACAGTTGTTCTTGTAATCATTATTGCAGTGGTTTTATATATATACTTGAAACCCAAAACAATGGTGTCGACGAGTTCAGATGGAAATACATCTACTGTTACATCTACTGTTGCGGCAACACCAACAAGTTAATTCTGAACTTGATTTTTTTTTTTTTAGACTCAAAATATTTTTGATTAAAATACAAATAATACAAAATAGAACAGTATTTTATTTTTTAAACAAAGTAATAGGATTTCTTTTATTTTCTTTATTTTTACAAAGAATTCATTATTACATTGCATTACATTATTAAAAAAATGGACAATATTCCAATTTCAAAAATTCAAGGTGTGATGATAAAAATCGCGAATGTTTGTGGTAGAAAAAAAAGATAATCGTAGATGTTTTCTGTTAATAAGAAAAAAAATTATTTTGAATAGTTTTTTTAAATTTTTATAATTATTTTATATAATTTACACAATTTACACCTCGGCTTTTTATTTTTTTTCTTTCGTTATTTTTCCCTATTTTTTTTTAATAATAGATGTTTCAAATCGAGAATAGGAAAAGCAAAGTAATTACTAAGTATTATTTTAATTTGTAATATTATCATTATTGAAAGAATTTTTTTTTTTTTTTAATTTGTAGCATTTTAACTTAATTTTCCTTATTTTCCTTTGTAATTTTAAAAGCTATTTAATCAATTTAATTAATCCTCTTTTCAATCTATTCATTTCTAATACTTCTATTATCGATTCATCTTCAAAAACAAACTTATATTTTACAATTAAAATATATTTATGTATTTATAAAGGTGCAGAAATTATAAATGATAATTATTATTATTATTATTATTATTATTATTATTATTATTATTTTACTTTTATTCATTTTTAATTGATTGATTTTTTTTTATCATGTATACACATAATTAAAAGAAATTAAAGAAAAAGATTTTCTAATATCTATCATTACTTTTATTACTTTTATGATTTCATTTATAGCACTCTCATTTCACTCTCACTTCATATATTTTTTTAATTGAATGATTTCTTCATCTTTTTTATCTAATGCTGTAAGTAAATGTTTAATTCTAAATTTTAATTTTGAATTTTCAATTTGTAAAGTTTCAATTTGCTTTTGTGAATTTAGATTTTTTTCTTTTTGTTCCTTTTCTTCCTTTTCTTTTGGTGGTGGTGATAAATTCGTAAAAGTTATAATTTCATCATGTTGTTGTATATTTAAACCTAATTTATCAGTTATTATTATTATTTTAAAAAAAAAAATTTGTTTTTTTTTTGGCTTGTTTAAAATTTAAAAAAAATTTTTTTAAAATTACCAGAAATTATTTCTTGTAATTCTTTTACTTGTGCTTGTAACCCTTCTATCATAATTTCGGTTGGAGTTTTTATAAACGTTTCCATATTTTGTTCAGACATTTGTAATTGATAATCTATGTACGTATTTAAATAATCTAATCTATTCCCGAAATTCTCTTGTGAAGTCAGCATGGGGACAAAAGTATGGATCACGCATGCACGTGGTGGGGTTTAACACAGATGAGAATTTTTTAAGTGTAATTTTACCACCGATTCATCCTTACGTAACTCCCCTTCCCATATCTTTATCCGTTTATGGATAACATATCTAGTATCCATCCTAAGAAGTTCATTTACTGTCCTTAAAATATATATGAACGAATTTCACAAAGCGTTTAGACAGTTTTTTGATGTCCTTAATTAATTACAAACGACCGGAAAGTAAAAATATTAATCTTGAAATTGCGGCCTCTGCAATTTCGGAACTGATTCAATTCCCAGTAAAAACCTATTATGATTGTATCCAAAATGATTTGGATCTTACACCCGAACAATTTATTGATATTGAAACAGTTCATAAATCTACGTTAATTGGGCATTTCGGAAAGACCAATCTCTTAACTCACAGTGAAATTTTAAATAATATAGAGAATGATCCTCCTAACTTATCTGACGAATTTCAAATTTTTATAGCAAAACCTGACGGTAAACTCAATTGCATGTTCGTCACACAAACCATGACTATAAGTGAATTAAAACAAAAGGTTCATGATAAATTTGAACTTCCAACTTCGATGCTAATTCAATATTCCGATAAGCAGCTAGAAGATGAAATGACCCTTGGATATTATCAAATTAATCATGGAGATACAATAAATGTTTCATTTAGGTTATTAGGAGGGAATTGTGATTTTCGTGTGATTACGGATGAATTCTTGAATTCAAATTATCATTATGACTTTACAAATACGAACGATGATGGAAAAACTTTTACTCGAGGAAATAAATTGTATAAAAGACCGTGTGGATGGAAAAGGCTTGCATTAAACGTAGAAAAGTTCGAAGATAATAAGTGGTTAGGTTGTGCAGGCAATGATCCTTTAGAGTGGCCAGTTTCATATCATGGCACACAACACACGAATGTGAATTCCATTGCTGATGAAGGTTTTTTACTTAGTAAATCGAAAAGATTTGCTTTTGGCAAAGGGATATATTCATCTCCTGATATTAATGTAGCAATGCCATTCGCTGGTCGATTCATTCATGATAATGTACGTTACATGGTAATCTTTCAAAATCGAGTTAACCCAAATGATAAAACTGAAATTCCCCTCCATAATTATTGGGTTACTGCTGATGATAGAAATATTAGACCATATGGTTTATGTTATAAAAGAGTAGACTCATAAAAATATTTTAATGAACATTTTTACTGTTTATTACTAAGTTATAATGCTCATATGAGCCTTTTTTTACCTTAAAATTAACGTTAAAGTAGTTTGTATAAGTCAGATCACAGGACTATATTTACTAGCACATTTATATGTATGGGAATAATAAAACAATAAACGGTTTATTTTCAGTCTTATAGGTAGCACATAATATAGTAATAAATGCTGTCAATATTATGAATTGTTTTACATTAAAATATTCACTAGCTTTGTTTTACATTAAAATATTCACTAGCTTTATCTTGCAACTTCATATAGTATTTTTTTGGTCTCAGGATAAAAATGCGCGAACCTTAAAAGGGACATCTCTAAACTCTTTAGGAAAATGCCATAATTCTTTAATGGAGTTTAAAAGACTTAGAGTGCTTTCGTCGCTTAATCAAACATATGATTTAATCATTGGGAAATCGGCTATTAGATCGTTTCCATATACAGGCAAGTTTGGAAACCCAATATTGATATTGAAAAAGAATCTTAAATTGCTTACACAAGAATTTTAATTAACAATTTTCATTTGATCCATCAACCAGATCATGTGATTAATATTAACACGTAATGTATATTAATAGACCACCGAAAATAAAATAAAAAATAGTAATATATAGAGACATGGAAAGAGAAATTCCAAAAATTCAGGCTGAAGAAAAAGACGATATACTGTGGGTTCAAAATAATATTTACCAGGTTGCACTGGAAAAAATACAAAAACATTTGGGTAATGATTCTGATCCTCAATTACGCGAAACTGTTACGAATCTCGTTGAAAAGGTTTACTATTACTTATTACTATTATTATTATTGTTAACCTTTCTACTATTATCGATTATTATTATTATTATCATTATTATTACTATTTATTATTATTATCATTGTTATTACTACTTTTTATTACACATTACAGTTTCCTCTATGAAGTTTATTGACGCGTCTTTATTTCATTGTAATATTTATAAAGTGGGTTAATGATACTTTTGAGTTGATGGCTCCTAATTTACAAGTAAATGGAATTGATTATAATGTAGCGCTTAAAGGAAATGATGGTAAAATATTTAATTGTATTAATCATATTTTTGTTAGTATAATGCAAACCCTAATTATATATATATATATATTATATAAATAGATATTGAACCATTTAATGAAGGATTATGTCAGAAAGTACATGAAACTCGAGCACAAATTGATGAGGAAACCTTGATTTTAATTCAAAGGCGTAAAATGTTACCTGATCAAATTAAGACTATAATTCAAGAAATATTAAAAATACAAGCAAATTCAATTGATAATGTGGATTTCATAGAAATGGAAGAAGAAAAAATTGTCATTGGTGATGAAGATATAGAAATGGGAGGAGTTGAAGAATCACATAACAATACATATAAAGGTATATATTAATTATTATATTAATTATTATTGTTCTTTATTCATTGTCATATTTATCTGTTTAATTTTACCATTCATTAATTATCAACAAAGACATTCAAGACATTCAAGATGATATTCAAAAAATAGAACAAACCCGTCAAACATTTAATAAAAGTCTTTCTATTTTAGCAGATTTGAAGAAGGTAATGTGATTAACTTTTTATATTTTTTTTTTTTCATTTAAAAATTTCTACTCTCGTCCCCTCACTTCAATCTCTCTATATATAGTCGGTTTCGGGTAATCTATCAAAATTGGAACGCGCTCAAACTGTGGTTACGGATATTAATCAATTTAATCCTTAAAATAAATAATAATAATAAAAAAGCCATGTAAATACTTGTTTTAATTGCAGTATGCCGTATCATGCATCATATGCTGTATCAGATGCTGTAGATGTAAAAGTATGATACATGTTTCTTTTTTTGATATATACCCCAGACCTCGAACTGAAAAGCACAGAAAATATTTGATAGAGGAAAAAAATAATAGTTCGAATTAGAACATTTTCAACATTATCTATTTCGGAATTCAGATTGAATGAAAGAGAAAATGCAGAAAATGAAAATCATTGGGCTGACTATCCATTTCCAGGATAATTCACGAGCTCTGGAGTCACAAACATGTAAACATTGAAATTCGATAAGGTAATTTATAATAAAAGTGATTTAAAGACGAATTTGTCAGAACATGACCTTATTTGTACTGTTGCAGGACAGGACATTGGCTTCGCAAAAATTCATTTGTGTGACGATCTGATTTTTATGAAAAAGAAAATGCAGAAAATGAAAACCGGAATAATTCACGAGTTCTGGTGTCATAAACATGCAAACATTGAAATTCGATAGGGTAATTTATAATAAAAATGATTTAAAGACGAATTTGTCAGAACATGACCTTATTTGTATTATTGATGTTATGGAAATACTATACGCAGTTTCAAATAGATATGTTTAAATAGAAATAGAAGTTATAAAAGACCATTGAATTCCCACAAAAAATATTATATTATCAAGTTTCTTGTTTTAAAAGAAATTACCGACTAAAATGGCTGAAATGGCTGATGTAGGTTATATTTCTCAGCTAATAAAATACTTTTCAATATTTATTTATGCTATAATAACTCTCATATCCATAACACATAGTTGCAAAGCGTAATTGCAAGTGTTGGTGGTGTTATAACTGTTATGACACCTATTATAGTTGCGATAATAGAAGTTAGAAAAAAGAGCGAAAAAAAGAGTTCTTATGAGCCAGAGGCGTATGGAAGGGTTATGACTTCCGCAGATTGTGAAAACGGGAGATCTATAAATTATGGAAGCGTTGGAATAAAAGGAAAGAATTCTAATCATAATAGTGAAGAGATTGAGAGTTTTACAGATTTTGACAACGTAAATTTCAGAAGTGTTGAACATGAAAGAAATGAGACGGATTGTTCTGAATCTTTCAAAAAGATTCTCGTAATGGTTCTCAACCTCTATTTCCAATTAATTTTCGCTATCATTCTTCCGCCTTTAAGTGTTTTCTTAGCGGAAAAG